TTATGAAGAAATTCTTCAATATTACCTTGCTAGTAGTAAATGGCAACCAAGGTTATTACTTCAAAAAGGACCAAGAAAAAGAATAATTATAAAACAAAACAGGATGGTTACTGCAATTACTACAAAAAAAGAGAGCAGTGAATTATCGATTTTGAAATTATTTAGAGAAGTGAGTGATATAAGTAGAAAGAGAAGTGGGTTACTGTGATTACAGCATAAAAGAATTCCTTTTTGAAATAATTTTTTATAATCAAATGTTAGGTTTTCTGCATTTTAAATAAAATTTTTTTGGCTATTTATTCAATTATTTGAAGCTTAAAAGCATTGGTTTGCATTATAAATTAATGCTGTACAGTTTTACAAAAAACTGGATGGTCTTTTTACATTTCAAAAGCATAAAAGAGATAATGATTCAAACATGGGATATGTTGAATATAGCTGCTGCCCTTAATAAATATTGTAGTGTCATGTAGTTGCCATAATAGTTTCCAAATTAGCTCTGTAATATTTGAACTCTAAGTCAAATGGCATATTGATATATAGTTATTTTATGTTTGTTCATATGAAGAGTATTTGATTACATATAAACATTAACTCAAAATACCATTCTGCTTGTTGTGCCCATATATATATTATAATAAACACATGCATTCATTTAAAATTTTTATCATAAAGCCTTGAAAGATAACATAGCAGGCTTTATCTGTGATTGGTCAATCCATAAAGAAATTGATTGGATAATTTTATAATATGCTGATCATTATTAAAACCTTTTAATATTGCTTTCAAAGACAATAAAATAAATAGATTCTTAGCAATATTTTTGTTTGTAATTGGTTCAGCAAAAACATTAGGGTGAAAACTAAGGATGTTAGCCGAAATTGGCTCACTTAATAAATGATTGTTGCCTAATCTGAAATGCCAAAATAGTTTTTCATAGATGCTGAAATTAATCTTATTAGTTGCTGAAATTATATCTGAGATTATTTGAACACTTTAACTAAATAGCTGAAATTCTGGGTAGTATTTTATGCCTATAGATATAAAGAATATTGTAATCCGAAATTGCTTGCTGAAATTGTTTTTTCAAAATCCATTTCGGCTAACATCCTTAGGGCTGCATGTATACTTTGTGTAAAAAAAATTTGTCAATAAATAATAAAAATATCTGTTTAATTTATATATCTAAAAACTTAAATACAAATTGTAATTTACTAATAGCTCTATGGTTGTATTGTTGAATAAAATAGATTATACCTCCAAGCAAAATAAACCTATTATTTAGCATGTAGTGTTGAATAACTAAGAATTTAATAATTTAACAGAGGTAGTTGAAGTAATTGGTAGACTTAAGAAGCTCAGACCATTATCACCATTATCATCTGAATCATGAATTTTTTTATATGCTAAAAATATAACATTGGGTTTGAATACTACAATTTCTAACTCAGCTTTATCTTTATTACTAGTACAATCATTTAATATTAGATTCATAAAAATTGACTGATTTTCCTCAAAGTTGCCAGATGTTATCCATTTAAAATTCCCTGAATTTTTAAAAGAAAGCTTTATTTTATCACATTTAATAGCTTTACCAAATCCTGGAAATTCTAATATACTTTTATTATGACAATAATGTTAATATTTATTTGATTTTATCAAATATAAAATTGAATAATTGAGTATATTACCTATAATAAATATAAGAATTGTCTAAGGGTTTAATTCTTTTTTTGGTTTCAAGGTCATAAGTGTGAATACAGACTTTTTTGTCTGATTGATGAAAATGCAAACTGGTGATAATTTTTGAATCCTCTGGATCAGTTTTATTTTTATATGATTTAATCATACAAGATCCAATTATTGATTTCTCTTTTTTTGGCCTTTCGATTTCTGCAATAAATCTATTATTATCTTGTTTAATCTCCTTTTCTCCTCCACCAATAAATTTAATATCCAACTCAGATTTAGATCTAAAACCATATCCAACAATTATATAACTAATTTTTAAGTCATGTCGATTATAACTTGATTTGTCTTTATCTTCATTAATTTTGTGAATGACAATCACAGGACTATTTTTATCAAGATATTCAATTCTACTACTAAATGAATTTTTTGCACTTTCATTTTCTTCCATTATTGTAGAGAAAATTTGACATTCATCAATATTTGGAATATCATGCTCTAATATATGAACATGAGCCTTTTCCTTAGTATCATAGACAATTTTACAAGTTTTAACTTATATCAAAATAAATGTATTTATGAATTAGTAAATAATTATCCAGAATAAATATTAAGACAAATATAATGTGATTTACCTACCATCAAGTATTCTTTGGCCCAAACATTTTAATACTCGATCTTTTAAATCATCTGGTAATATTTCAAATATAGGTATAACTTCTTTATATTCAACTATCTCCCACTTATCAGGATCACTGAGAGCCTCATACCAACCACTTATATTATCATCAAATAAATAATCACCTCCACCTATTATACGTTCATAAGATCTGGCTTCACTTGAGCTTGTATTGTCATTTCCTGATTTTGTTCTACATCCAGATATGCCAAAATCAGTAATACTTGAGTAACTCATATTAGATTCACCACTAATTGTACTTGAAGATGATTCTATAACTAACAAAATAATTTAATTGTTGATTTTTTTTTTAAATTTTTAAAAAATAATATATATTTAATATATATTAAAAAGTAGAGTTTACCTTGATTTGCTTCACTTGTAAGTTGACTTACAATTTTACCACCAAAAAATATTTTTTTTGGATATAAATTGACCATAATCTTCAATGATTTTCTTAAGTTTCTCAAGTTGTACACGTAATTTTAAATTTGGATCAATTGCAGATTCAACATCATTTACAAATTCAGTTGTTAAATAATAATCTAATTCTGTAAATTCAATTGATGCATGTTCTGATTTAATAATTGAATATGAAGTGGCTGTGGCCGATTTCTTTTTAAACTCAATTGAACTTTTACTTGTTAAACCAATACAAAATGATAGCCATGGTAATATTGAAGATATTTTACAATCAAAAGCTGTATTACGTTGACATAGATTATCCAATTCATTATCACACCTTTTAGTCTCCTTATACCTCTCTGGATGACGATCCTTTTTGTTTTTGGAATCTGTAATTACAATTGCTTTTTTAGAAGCCCTTTCAGCGCCCTTATCCGCTATTATATTAAATCCATATTCACAAGATTTAATTAATTTTGACCAATTAGGTCTATTTGTTTTGCATAATTCTATCAAATTGATATTTTTATCATTTTTATTAATTATCTTCTCTAAAGTATCTTTATATTCCTCATCTATTTCTATTTCACCATGGTCTGGAAGTATAAAGGAAAAGTTATAATCTAAACGTTGACTTAGAAATAATCTAACTTCGTCCAATTTCATATTTAAAGGCAATTTATAAGCTTTCTTTTTTCTTCACTTTGGAATGAAACATTGGTGGATTCATCATTCTTGATTTTTTTAATAAATAATTTATCACCGACGAGAATCTCCGATAAAGCCTTGTCTTCATTTATAATATCTTTACCTTCATGTTGAAAGATTAAAGTATCTTTAAGGAAACGAATATAACTATGAATTTCTGAACTTTCTAAGATGAATATACGAATTTTTGATAATTTTAGGTTATCATTAAGCTTTTGATTAAATTCTTTGCCGTCATCGATTTTTATAACGATGTCTCTAATCATGCTCAGAAGAC